ATAAAAAACTTACCCAATTCTCTTCCAATGTAAGCCGCAAAACCGATGAAACCATAATGGCGAAGCAAGCCTTCGAGAACAATGGCCATGATGGTCATCGTACCTTTGGCGGGAAGAGGGAAACGGAAGGCACATGCGCCATACTAACCGATTTTAGCGCGAACTTTAACTATAGGTATCTATTCTTATCCAAATTGAGATATATCAAGGATATTAAACAGTATAACTGATAAAACAATATTTAAATAATATTTTGATACCCAATAGTTAGTAGCTGTTATAATAACAAGTAAAGTAAATAGTATTAAATTTGTAGAGTAAAATTAGCCTTGTCAATGTTGTTTCTAGCCACAATAATTTTGTTAATGCAGGTATAAGTATAGTTCATTTTATTTTAATCGAAGCCAAAAATAATCATCAAATAATGATTTAAATATATTTAGATAGAATAGTTTTTGTACAAATTAATATTCTTTTCACCAGTAGTCTATCAAAATAGTTAATAAAAATATGAAGTAAACGTTGGGTAACAGGTTGAGTTATGAACAAGAAGAAAAGTTGTGGCGGTAAAATTAAATATTAACGGTTATTAGTCTTATTTACATAACTTATTCATTGATATAATTAAAATTAAGAAAGTTTACCTTGAGTAAAATAAGTACGAATAATAGTTATCAGAAATTTATATTGACAATTGAATGAATTCCACAGTATTCACGCGTAGTATCAAGTTTTTAGTTTTCTCTTTTCTGTCTATAAAATAGAAAAGTTTTAAAATTTTAATACTTTTTTGTAGTATCAAATTCTTTATTGATCATGGTTCAATACCTGTACATTAATTATTTTATCTATCCATAATTATTTTTTATGTTTTAAAGCCATAGCTATAGCAAAAGCAATGTGGTAGATTATACATTACATCAAATAATATGGTCGAATTGCGAATTCTTGTGCAAATCTTCCATATTAAGGTTATGGATGCAAATAAAGTTCTTCAATCATATGAAATTTTTCCTGTAATTTCTGTCCTGGATCTTATTTCTGTTGTCTGATCTCCATTTTCGGTTAATGTTCCTAAATATTTATATGTTGTCTTTATATTGTCGCATTGGGACCACTAGGTTATCTATATGTCTTTATTATTTTAAAAATATTATCCTTTTTGTTGTCGTGACGAAGTGGAAGTAAAGCTCATGAAAACACTAAAAATACATACAGAAAAGTACCCTAACCAGACGCAATTTATGGCATTAAAATCAGAGTACATGTATAGGTACTCTGATTAAAAGTAGTATAATATACTCTGATTAGGATGTGGTGTATACTGTGATTATCCTTTGTGTTATATACTCTGATTAAAATTTAGATTTTAAGCCAGAAAAATATACAAATGTTAGACAAACGCAAATGTTTACAAAAACAAAAATAATTTTATTCTCCCTCTCCACTACCATCTGGACTGTCCAGTCCAGGTCAGCGTAAATTTAGTAATGAATAAGATTAGAATAATTAATAAACCTTAAGATGTTTATGTATGTTATTTTCTATCACTAGCAACAATATCCAAAAAAAAATCAAATAATAACCTACAGAAAAACTTTATATTAAATTAAACTGATTGGAAGTTTTGAGTGAAAATGAAAATATCATCACATAACACAATATATAACAATATAACACAATAATATATTACACCACTTACATTTAACAAACAATCTCACACATATCTCAAATTCATTGGATCAAATCTATCTCCTCAAGAACTTCCCGTTTACTGTCAAACAACTGCAATAATAGTATTGAGTTCTCCATTCAACAATATACAGTAGTTTCAAACATGTTCTACCATCCATCTATTAATAGAGTACCGGCATATAAGTAATTTTATTTTATTTATTTATTGGCTCATTTATTAATTTATTACAATAGAAGAGATTTTATGACAATTTGTGGGCCTTACCTTGTCCTTTTAACTTTCTTAAAAAATATTTATACCTTTTATTCAACTCAATCATTTAAATAAAACCACAGACAGGTAATATTGGCATAATTATTGTAATTTATAACAACTAATTTGTTTATCTTTATTAGACAACACCCTAATATGGGTTTTTATCATTTCAGCATTTGTTTAACTTTGTATCGAGACCTGAAGATGCTTTGCATATTGTAGAAAGCGAAACCGGTCGTCTGATAGTTAAATTAAATTGATTGTGAGTAAGCCTTATTTATTATTTCTTTACCTATTTGAAATGGACTCACACAAGCAACACATTCATGATTTGAAAATATCATCCTTACAAAATAGTTTGATATATTTGAAAAATTAGTTGAAAATAGATTATTAAACAAACGACGCCGTCAAGTTCGGCAACCAGTAATATACAAAATTCATTACTGTGTATTTAGGAAACTTTCATAATTTCATACAATATAGAAATGATTCGTTTTGTAAAAACTACTGGAATGATTTTTTATGGTACCATTATGGGCAACGATTTTACATACTGATCAGACAAACCACCTAGTTCTGCTTATAAAAAGGTAATTCGATCCTAGAACGATTGTTAAGATAAATGCTATTTTACTTATACATTTAGAAAATGCATATTTTACAATTGATGTTATCTATCGTTACCTGACTAGGATTTTAAAACTCTTATTAATCTTTATAATGGTATACAAGATAAACTTCAAGGAAAGAAAAACTGCTCTAATTTCGTTCCCATCTACCCTCATAAAATCACTTGAAACTAAATTGGTCACGTATTTTGTTTTTTCAAAGTTTATGTTCAGGCCTATTTGTTCTATTGCCTGTTTTAGTTCTTCCATCATTTTGTGAGCTTCATTTAAACTCTCGGCTACAATCACAATATCATCTGCAAAGCGCAAGTGGCTTAAGCATTCACCATCAATATTTATTCCCCTTTTAGCCCAATCTAGTTTTTTAAAGGTATATTCCAGAGCTGCAGTGAATAGTTGGGGTGAGATGGTGTCGCCCTGTCTAATTCCTCGCTCAATTCCATATTTTTTGGTAAAGTCATGGAGTTCAACAGATGCTGTTGCGTTGTTGTATATATGTTTTATCAAATTTGTATATCTATAGTCTACTCGGCTTTGTTCTAATGCTCCTAATACTGCCGGTAATTCCACGGTATCTTAATTTTAAGCATAATCTTAATATTTTTAGGTTCGAAAAATATAACATAAGGGGACAAGGCACACATTTAATAAACTTACCGTTCCTATTTTTATATTTTCCGAATCGCTGCTACTTCCGGACACTGTGTAGTCTTTCTCTGGTTTTAAAGTGTGCGATTTCTACTTTAACTCATTTTAAACGAAATTGTGGCTTGTTCCCTTCAGGTCCCATTCTTCAATTCTGTCTTAATACGATAATAGGAGGTTCAAGAGCTATAAGAGCTTTTTACCATACACGTATATATTATTTGCACATATCGCTTGTATTGCAACCATAATTTCTTTCGGAGTTCTATCACATAACTCCAACCAAGGCGTCTATGAAATGACAAACACACACACACATCGTTGATTTTTCACACAAACCCGCTGATTTGGTACACACCATGGACGTATAAACACAGATGGACTCAGTAATTTACATAAAATTGTGAAGTCAAAATTATTTGAATAGGTCACATTCTCAGCACCTTCAACTGTTGTCACGTTTTGTTTTAAAATTTCTTATTCGCGAGCCGCTGAAAATATTACTCCGTATTTTATACTCTACAGGTGCTATCAAACCAAAATAATAATTTATTGGTTAGATTAATATATTTAATTGTAATCAAAATATAAAGTGTGCATTATCATTTAATAATAGCGTATAATAGATATCAATCAATTATTTTATATGTAGAAGCACTGAAAACTATTTATAAATGGCAACGGTTGTTTACATTTCTCTGTCTTATGGATCTATGTCAAACTTCAAATGCTGTTCCATGTTTGTTTACTTTTTATTAAAAGTTGTTTTTCGATATTTTGGCTGTATTTTGAGTGATATTTGTGAAAATTGAAATAAAATAACAATTTTTTTTTGGGTTAATGCCTCGACAACTATGATCATTGGCATGGTACAGTCAGGTACCTAGTGTAGTGTGTGTGTGTAGAGTAATTGTCTTGATACTTTGCAAAGTCGACGTCATTATCTTTGCTAAGAGACGCTAATTGTATCCGAACGTCTGCGGTCCCTCTGGTGAGTATCATTTCATTTGTAAGTACATACAATTTACATTATTTAAGATAAAGAAATGAGGAAGCGTGTTTGTTTACATTTTAATAGGCGTACCATTGGGTTTATTCATGTTCATTAATGTATTGAATAAGATATAAGTTCATGAAATTAGTAGACATTTTTAAATTGTAATTAGACATCATCTGATTAAAAAAGGTCTGTTTAGTACCTTTTTAATTTAATATTTCTCATGGATACAAATAAATTAGTGAAATGAATAAAACTCATTTATTTTTCTATGTAGGTTTCCAAATAATATCGATAATCGAACTATTTGGGTAGCAAATTTAGGAGAAAACATAAAGATTTTTTATTGTAGCATTATTTTGATACCTATTAAAAAATTAACTTGAAAACTATATTTAATTGTATTAATTTTAAAGCAAATAAAATTGTATTTTAATTTTTCTATAAAGACGTGATTTGTTAATAGTTAAACTCTCGTTTTTTTTTAATTCTTTGAACGTGTTTTTATACATTGTTACTACTTCCAATTTTTAAAATCTGAATAGTTACCCGCGAGTAAAAATTCAAGCACGCTTATGCTCATTGCGGAAGCATCACATTCTATCGAAGCTTCAAAACATTGTGTGTTAAAGGTATCTTATTGCTGTGTCCATCTATGTTTATACGTCCATGGTACACACCATCGTTGATTTTTCGTTTTTATATTTGACTTTATGGCCTATAAAAAAATAAACCGATGAAAGTTGACCAAATGGGAAAATAATATAAAACACGGTCCAGGTACAACAGCTTTATTAAAATTTGAATATAAAACATTAATAAAAAAGTATAAGTACTGTTTTTCTAGCAACTAATATCACCTATCCAAAAAAATTTGAATTTCTTGAAAACTTTTACCCTTAGTCTCAGGTACAAAGAAAATGACGAAAACTAAGGCAGCAATACAAAAGCAAGCGAACAACCAAAAAGTACCACCTATTCCAAGCGCTAAATTGAGATCGTTAAAGAACTTTGTAACCAAAAAAGACATTAACCATCCCGTGAAACCGGTCACGGTAGCTAAATAAAATTTTACGTTAGATGGTAGTACCTCAGAGGTTATCGTAAACGGTAATGGACCAAAACCTATGTTAAAAGTTACGACGTAAACTATGAGACATGCGATTGGTACCCAAGACCAATTTTTTAAGGAAACATCGGAGCGTTCGTGTAAGTAGAAGTAGGCCCCTAAAATTACTTCTGAGATTATACATCCCAATGCAGATACCGTCAAAAGGAACTTACGACCTTTTCTATCCACGATCAGTGGTCCTGCGAAACTTGCTAAGAACAGAACAACACCGACAATCATAGCCGAAACTTCGTTTGACAAGTTAGTGCCGGCAAAACCAAAAATTATTTCTGTATATGCTAGAATAGCACCCAGACCAGAAAGTTGTTGAAAACTACTCAAACCAAGAGCCACCAAAAACCCTTTAATGACGTACTTTTTCTTTAAAGTATTAAAAATGTCACCCTGAACATTTCTAGCCTTCTCTCGTTTAATTTCTTCAATTTCATTCGTAGCTGTGTACTTACTTTTCGTTTTTCTTAGCTTTTTAAGAATCTTTTCCGCCTTATCATCTTCTTTGTTAACGTAGTAATATGGACTTTCAGGGGCTATTATTAAAAATATAACCAAGAACGATATGGGAAAAACAGCCAAAATGATATTAAACCATAGAACGGAAACGTACGGGCCTAATATGTAAGGAATTAAGTCACCGAAACTAGCAAAGGTGCTGTAGGACATTAGTAACATTCCCCTATAGGAATCTTCAGCAATTTCAGCAACGTACATCGGCAATATGATGTACACCGAAGACAAGGAAACTCCCCCCAAGAAGCGACCCACATAATACCAACCGATGCTTTTTGCAAAAGCAAAAGAAAGAAACGATATAGTGTGAGGTACGGCCAATAACAGCAGTACAGGTTTTCTTCCTAATACATCAGCTAAAACGGCGAAGGGCAGAATTCCCACCATTGCGCCTATATACTGCAATGACCCTATCCATGATATTTCATCCGATGTTATCTTCCTTCCCAATGGATTTATATTCGTATCGTTTGAATCAAGTTTCGGTAAAATTGGCGAAGACCATGTTAAAGTTGTATCGCCGGTTAGAGCCAGAAGATTTCCTGCAAAAATAAAACTACTATAAAATAAATGTCTGTAGATGTGTGTTGTTAGAATATTGTCTATAGTAGGATCGTTTTACCCTGTCGTATTTCGGATTAACGCCAGAAAAATAATTTATGACTCTAGTTACAGCCATTCTGTTATGCTTTCCCTTTTCTACCTGCTTTGTGGTACCGAACCTCCTACTGGTCGACTGTAGTACATGAGGATAAATCAGCGCTACCAAAACAATTTTTTTATAACTCGTGAAAAAACGCAAATTCTATAATATATTCAGACTATATTCAGAGAACACTATATTCACCTAAATAAACACCTAAATATAAGTTTTTATCTCCGAGTGAGCGTCGAATTGTGTTGAAAGTGGAAAATTATTTTACTTTAGAAAAAATCAACATGGGACCAATTACATCAGTACTGGCAGTTCAAAAAAGGACAAGTGCAGCTTGTGGAATTTTAGAACGGAACTTGCAGAGTTCGCAAACTTAGTGAGGAGGAATTAAGAAAGGAACATAAAAGGATTCGTTTGCATCCGAAAACCCTCGACTTGCCACAAGGTATTAAACTCTCAATCAGAAATATCATTTATGACATGTACAAAGCAAAAGAACATGTTACAAGAAAGACACTTATTCAAAAAATACAGAACAGAGAACTTTGTAATATGGGTTTGATCAGTTTATCAAAAGTAATAAAAGCTGTCCGAACTGTGCGAGCTGTCCAATGTTGTTGGAAAAAGGTGGATATTTATAAGAAACTATTTAAAAAACAAGAATTCCGAATTTGCCAGACAATTTGTGTTTCTAGACGAAACATGGATTTTTGCGAAAGGAAATAATACCAAATCATCCTGGCAAGATGATTCTACCAAATGCTATTCGAGTACTAGCGCGAGTAATAGCAAAAGATATATTATATTGCATGCAGGAAATGCGGAAGGTTTTATACCCAATGGTAGTCTTATATTTTCTTCGACATAAAAAACTGATGATTACCACGGAAATATGGACGCCGATATTTTTGAACATTGGTTTGAGGAAAAATTATTAAAAAATCTGGAAAATACGTCATTAATAGTCTTAGACAATGCTTCGTATCACACCAGAGAGGAGGAAAAGTTTCCCACAAGCAGCTGGAAAAAAGAAGACTTAACCCCTCAAAACCTACCGTCTAAATATTCATACGCAAAACATACCATTTTTGTTAAACCTTGCAGCGAAAAGACAGCGCTGGTTTCTGTTTATTGTGTCAAATATCAATGAAACAACGTCTGTTGTTAACATTTTACCGGTTATTTGCTCTGTTTGTTTATGTCATTACCGTGGATTACCTGGAAGTATCGATCCCAGAGCATGTTGTTTATTAGTTGCAATATTCTTTGGCATGAGATTAGTTTGGTTAGTTTATAGAGGAGTCCCTCCTCCCATACTGTGTCGTAGGCAGCTGTCAAATCCACAAAGACTACAACCGTCTTTTGATGCTTTTGGAAGCCTGTTTCTATATGCGTAGAAGACTTAGGTCCTGATCTGTGCAGCGTTGATTAGGTATGAAACCTGCTTATTCGAGTGAAATATTTTCAAGAATTTGTGGGCCTATTCGGTTTAGGATAAGTCGTTCCAGCAGTTTATAGCAGCAACTGAGAAGTGCTATAGGACTGTAGCTTTCAACTTTATCGTGCGGTTTATTGGGTTTTAATGCAGCTATTATTTTGCTCTTTTTAAAAGCTTTTGGTATGTTTCCAGTTCTAAGGATCTGCGAATAGAACGCAGCCAACCATTTTTTTGTCCTTTGACCGCATTGTAGTAGGAACTCAGGATGTATCCCATCAAAACCAGGCGCCTTTCCAGTTTTCATGTCTCGGAGGGCTGATGTTATTTCTTCGTTGGTGAATTTGTGGGAGAACCTTGGGTTATATCCAGCTGTTTGGCGTAAGTTGTCGAGTTCCTTTTTTATATATATGTTCTTTGTCACGTGGAGCCCTAGATAGGGTCACTATTCAGCTAGCTATTTGGTCGGGGGACAAAAAGTGGGGTTTTCTAACGGGCGGGGCACTTCCCCCTATCTTTCTAAGTAGGTTCCAAGATTGTCTGCTCTATCTCTTAAAGTCAATTTTCTCCGTTGTTTTTATCCATTTATCTCTACGGGCGTCACTTAATGTTTGCAATACGTCATTAGCTACATCTGGGTCACCATTCTCTAAATAGTCATTGTAGAGTTCTTCACATTCATTATTCCAGCCTGGGATGTACTCTTTGCGGTAACCTCTCGGTAACCACTTTTTTGCAGTTGATATCACTGAACCTACAAATCTATCGTAGCTTTCCGGTGTGGCTGGAACCCATCTTATAACTTTATCAAGTTCAATATTCAAATCCATACAATTCATAGATGATACGACATACGTTATATCAGGTAAAGATGGTGATGATTTAAAAATGCCTTATGAGGAAGTTTCTACTAAATCTAGCACATGGTTTGTTGCAAACAAACTAAAACTCAACTTTCATAAAACGTAAAATTTGGTTATAAATGCAAGTAATTTACATAATGATCCAGATAATAAAGAGACTGTTAAACTGTTGGGAATAACCATAGATAATTGACTGAACTCGTCGGCTGATATCTCACAACTAAAGAACAAGCTATTAAGTTCATTATTTGTTATTCACCAACTAGCAAGGGTTGACAACTTTGAAACATTAAACATTTTTAGAATGCAAAAGAAAGCTGTCAGGATTTTAGCAGGGGCTAGTTATCTATAACACTGCCGACATTTCTTTAACAAATTCAAAATTATGTCGCTATCTACTCTGTTACATCTTAGATTACGTCTTTCAGATAAAAATTGCCTTAATTATAACTACTATATTATAATTACTACTACACTGATCACTAACCAATGCATTACTAACGTAATGCAATACATTACTAATTACTAATGTAATGCATTGGTTAGTGATCAGTGTAGTAGTGCCCGGGGGCTCGGGAGACTGAGGTCTCTGAAGCCCTGAAGAAGACATCAAAGAGGATGTCGAAAGCTCGGCGCAATGATAATCGATGCGGTTCAACCCGGAAGACTGTTGAGTTTAATATTAATTCTTGTAATAGTATTAGTCTTAGCCCTTGGTTTAATATACAGAGTGGCCCAAAAGTCTGGAAACGGCTAATTATCTCGTAAAATGCTAATCATAATTGTACAAAATTTAAGGTACACTTATTTTGGGATACGAAGAATCTCCTATTAAATACGAGTTCAACCATATGTAACACTTATGATTTTATGTAGTCTGGAAGGTCTTAAATACATAAAACAAAAGTCTGGCAACGCCTAAATTGTTTCAATAAATTTTGATTATAATACATTAAAACGTAACAATTGATAGTTTAGAACATTTTTAACATAGTAGTTACGTTATTAAGTGTTTAAAATGTGCTCAATTTGTGAGTTGACAGCACCCTAATCGATGGCAGAAGGCGTCTACCACATTTCTCCATGATTGTCTAGAAATTATTCGAGATTCTGCAGGATTCTCTGCAGGACTTGCTGGTTAAGTCTTGTAAACTGAATTTTTAGTATCCCTAATAAAAATAATCTTTAGGATTGAAATCGGGTGAACGTGGAGACCATTCAATTCTACCTTGTCTAGCAATTTATCGTCCAGGAAATATCTCATCTAAATATCGCCGAACATTTACACCAACTATCTGACGTTAAATTTCTTTCGACAAAAAATGACCCAATTGAATAAGTAACAACTATATCTGACCATACATTTAATTTTTGTGGTCTTTGAGTATGGTTTTTACGTATTCAGTCTTCAGTGTGAATTTACGTCACACCAGTACCTTAAATACACTCCCACACAGTGTAAAAGTTGCTTCATCGGAAAAACATATTCTGTTAACGAAATTTTAATAATTTTCAATTTTATCCATCATTATCTCAGTAAACTCTAATCTACGACCAAAGTCATATTCACTTAATTCTTGCAATAATTTTGTATGATTTAAATTTATTTTTACGTAATAAACGTAAGACTGAAGAATGACCTACATCATGTACTTGTGCAGCCCTGCCTGGGGATGTATGTGGATCTTCAACAAAACTTTGCTTATATCTAAAGTTTTGTTGTCATTGATAACTCGTTTCGGTCAACCTGATCGGTATCTATTTTTTACTTCTCCAGATTCCTCAAATCGCCTTACAGTTTTTTGTACCGTCGTCTTATGAATAGGAGAACGGTTTAGAGAACGGCATTTTAGAGAAGCAATTTAAATTGCAGAACTTTTTGAACCACAACTACTGTTAATTTTAGTTCATAATTTAAATGGTGAACAAATGTCAAAATCACAGCATTCTCCATTTTAATATTTAAATTTATTAAAATCTACATATTTTGCACTGTTTTATGCATTTAAGATCTTTCAGACTACATAAAATCAAGTGAACATATGGTTGAACTCGTATTGAATAGCTGAAGAGCTGTGACGTAAATTCACACTGAAGACTGAATGCGTGAAAACCATACTCAAAGACCACAAAAATTAAATGTATGGTCAGTTATAGTAGGTACTTATTTAATTGGGCCATTTTTTATCGAAAGAAATTTAACGTCAGATAGTTGGTGTAAATGTTCGGCGTTATACTAGACAAGGTAGAATTGAATGGCCTCCACGTTCACCCGATCTCAATCCTTAAGATCATTTTTATTAGAGATACTTGAAAAATTCAGTTTACAAAACTTAACCAGCAAGTTTTGCATAGCTAAGGCAATGAATTATCGATGAATCTCGAATAATTTCTAGACAATCATGGAGAAATGTGGTAGACGCATTCTACCATCGATTAGAGTGCTGTCAACTCACAAATGGAGCACATTTTGAACACTTAATAACGTAACTATTATGTTAAAAAATATTCTAAACTATCAATTGTTACGTTTTAATGTATTTGAAAATAGTTAGTATTAAAAAATGTATTGAAACAATTTAGGCGTTGCCAGACTTCTGTTTTATGTATTTAAGACCTTCAAGACTACATAAAATCATAAGTGTTACATATGGTTGAACTCGTATTTAAAAGGAGATTCCAATAATGACTGAATATACAGGGTGATGCGTTTGAAAAACCAAAGTTACTAGTAATATAAGAGAAACTAAAAATCTGGCAACATTGCAAATACCAAATATGGAATCTCCGTATCCCAAAATAGGCGTATCTCAAATTTTGTATAATTATGTCTAGTAATTTACGAGATAATTAGCCGTTTCCAGACTTTTGGGCCACTCTGTATATAATATACTTTGTTCTTTTAACATTTTACTACCTGGACAAGCAATTTTTGATATTTAATTGCCAATTTTGGCAAAAATCATGCAATGTCAAATTGAATTAAATTTAGTTCTGCAGTTATACAATTATCATAAAGTTACTTACCACAAAATGCAACTAAATAAGCGTAATTAATTTTTTCCTTTATCCCCATTGTATTGTATTCATTTGTCTAAAAAATATACATCAATTTAATCAAACAAACAATTTATCAGTATAGATTTTAATTAATCATTAATTACTATTTTGATTTTAATAAATATCACAAAAAGTACTATGTGATTTTAAGTTTATAACAGATAAGGAAAAATGGTAAAACAGTACAGAAAAAAAAAAAACAGTTATATATAGGAAACGGTATTTGAATAACGCAAAAAATGTATGACTTTACTGTAAAACAAAAATGGGGCAATTTAAATTTTATTCACGTAAGTTAACAGATTGACTGCCACAGCGGTCATTATGCCCGCTCGTAGTACTAGTAACTCACGACATGGCGGTCATATTGTCCGCCGTGCATTGTTTAACAAAAGTGTCTGTAAAGGGTATATGACCGCCGATTTCGTTAAAAAGGCATAGGCAACATGACCGCCTGGCCTGTATGGATATGTGAGTAAATATATTTACTTACATATGCGCTATGTATTATATGTGTATACCAAAAAAAAAATTGTACATTATAAGTAAAAAATCAATGATTTTAGATAGAAATAAGTAAGTTTTTATTGAAATAATTGAAAAATAACTTGGTTTTAAAAGTCATTACATTTTTAAATGTTTGAAATTAAAACAAGGCAGACAAAAATGAAGATACCCCTGGCAGTCTGTGCAATATGTAGTAACTTTTTTTACTTTTTTTTTAGATATTTCTCCTGTAGTTTTTTTCTTGTAGCAACCTCTGCAGTATTTCTTTACAGAAGTAGCAATTCCATCTTTTTTTAGCAATGTATGATTTCGTAGTCTTTCTTGTAGTTGCTGGTGGCAGTGGTTCATCTTCAGCTTGTTCGACTTGATCATAAACGAGCCCACCTTTGACTAAGTCAGATACAATTTCTTCTCTGAATTTCGTAATCGTCATGTTTGAATTAGAAAGTATCTTGAATACTATATAAGCGTTTACAATAGTTGTATCTAGCAGAAGTTCAATCGCGATTTTACGATAACATTTTAATGATCGACGCAAAGCGGAATTACAGCTGGACATCTGGTCTGACAAATCGATTGATGATTTCCCAGCGTTGTAATCAATTATAGCATCCGGTTTTCTTATGGGTCCTGAATGGCGTTCAATAAGTTGGCAACTATCAGTGTGCTTAGTAGACAAAATAAGAACATCGCGTTTATCATGCCACTTTATCACACACTTCTTTAATGTCTTATCCAAAACCTCCTTTGGATTACCTCTACGATTTGATCTCAAAGTTCCAATCAAATGTGTACGGTTGTCTAGTAGACGATTAGCCAGTTCAAGGCTGGTGTAATAATTATCAATAATGGCAGTTCGACCTGCATTCAGGAGGTTTCTTGACAAATTCATCACGACTTTGGTAGGAACTGAAGCTCCTCTGTCTCTTTCTTTGTCAGCATAAATTTGTAAATTCCAAGTATAGCCTTTACCACAGCATAACTTAAATACTTTAACACCATATTTATGAGTTTTTTGAGACATGTATTGCTTCATCACTAATCTTCCTTGAAAGGGAACAATACTTTCATCGATACAAAATACTTCTCCTGGAGTATATGTGTCTTGATATTTTCTTAAGGGTAGGTCGACAAGTGGTTGAATTTTGTGCAGTCTATCTCCCTCTTCGCGTTCTACATTATTACGTTACTTATAACAGCTCAAAGCGATTTCGACTCATAGCAGTTGAAGCAATATCATTACGAATAAGGGTTTTCTGCTCCAGTAATGTGATAGTGAAGGCATTTGAACTAATCTCATGTATTCCTTTTTTTTACATCTTTAAAGAGAAGAAGGAAAATCTGCATACAGACACCTGTGACTCACACAGGTAGTGTTGGGTTCCTAATACCCTAGCGAAGTTGTGCAGGGGCGAGGTGCCCAAGGAATTTAAACCCTTGACACCTCGCCCCGTCACCACTCCGAGACGGTCGGCGTCCAACTAAAAACCTCTCCTCTGTCACACCAGACATCAGGATGGAAGGGCCAGTTAAGGCATACATCTCTCCCGATGCCCTGCTATCACCCGATTCCCATTCTTTCTCCGACACATTCATCCAGGAAACCACACCCACACGAACCACCAAGGACTTTCAACCCCCTGCCTTAGCGAGGCTGCCATCTCTCTCGCGTCGTCTGTTTCTTACTCACTCTTAGTTCGGCCTGCTATGTATCCCAGAAGACCGATGAACTGATACATCTCCTTTTTATTAGTTGGTTGCCAGTCGTGTAATCGAATTCAGTGAAACATCATTTCCTAACACTTGCTGTGTTGCATATAAATTGGTTTGATTGACTATCATATCCACTATTTCATTATCAAGAAATGCGTAAAAACAGGTTGACGGTGAAATTTGTTCTAAAGAAATAGCTGATGCATAAATTGGGTTGAGCCCCCATGTCTCGGTAAAATCGAATTGTTGGTTATTACTAACAGGATTTGTCCATTCTGTTGGAACTGGGCTACTAATTGGTTGATCAATCACAAAATCGCCTCTATCAACCATTGGATCATTTCCAATCTCATTATTTTCTGGTAGTAACTCATCGTCGGACATATTGGTGACATCTCTAACCGGCTCGGTTGTCAGTGGATTGATATTTACCCCATTACCAATACCTGATGGACCTGCTTGAGCTTCACAAGTATCAGTGGTTTTGTTTATGTCAAACCGAATTTTCTTTTTATTTGGACTAATATTTTCATCATCGTCTGAATTAGATGATATGTCCATTTCTTCCGAACTTGAGGGTACATATAAATCTGTAGAATTAAATGCACCAAAGTCGTCATCTGTTTCTGACTCTTCTGAAATAAAACAATCTAACCTATATTTTTAGAAAAACAATAAAATAATGCAGGTATTACCATCTGTTTGAGGCATTTCTCCAGCTAATTTCAATAGACGTAAAGTACGCCGATTTGTAAACATAATGTAGTTTTGCAATACAAGTACACACACAATAACAAACAACGAGCCACACCCTTGCAATAATAGTCTACACTAACTAACTAGCTAAAACGCGAGAACTATTACCTTAGCATAAGAATAGAGGTGGCGGCTACAGCTGACCGCTCTGGCGTAGACAGGTTATTTTGTCCACCTACGCCAGAGCGGTCATTTTAGCCGTAATTCTTTTCTTTTAATTTATAACAAAATTTAGTTTGTGCCGAACTTTTTTTAATACACCTTTCTATTCTTTGTTTCAAGTTAAGAAAATAACATTACGCTTATGGAGATCAGTGTTTCCAAAACTCTCAGACACTCTCTTTTGCACGGATGTCCAAGATATTCCCTTTGCTTAATTTTGGAATTTTCATTTTCAATTAACATTTAACTGTAAAGTCAGAATAACTACTAAATAAAAGCCTTATTATCATTATATAGTCAGAGAACGACATAAAATCGCTGACATACGCACATCCTATTATTTTAAGTTGCAATTAGTAATTAGATACACGCATTCCAAGCGGTCAATATTTTCTACTGATTTCTATGATTCATGGCATATCGTATTCTCACCGAAAAACAAATAAACTGTCGTTACTATAATTAAAATAAGATAAAATAAAATTATCTTTTGTAAATACTATTTATCTAATTAAAATCATTTTCCCTACTTTTCATCTCTTGTTTCGAATGGGCACTTCTGGTCAATTACGTTAAACATTAAAAAACATTAATTTAATTCATGTTTGTGGAAACGAAAATACAAATTATACAACCCTAAATTGTGCTTGTGTGTGTCGTGGCAACGCCGCGTTGCTATCGTCCATAAGAAATACATGGCCCTATCTCCGCAATGTTATTTTCTAAACGTGGAACGTAGTATAGTATAAATTACTTTGGCGCAACAGGAAAAATTAGAATTTTCAGCTTGGCAGTCAACCTGTTAAATACAGTGAAATTTAAATCGAGTTCGAAGAATTCCTAGAATAGATATTATTATTTTGTCTTTCTAGCGACGTCACGAAAAACCCATTTTTACTAGATCAAATCAATCAATAAAACACCAATTCAAATGAACTAGTAGATATTTCTAAGAAGACACATTGAATCACCAGTTAGACAAAAAAGATTTGACTTAAATATTTTTCTGATATTTTATTTCTCCATATTGTTTCATTTAGGAAACCTACGGCTCTGTTTGCTCTATTCATTTGATCTTCCAGTTCGGATTCGAGCTTTCTTTAGTTAAATAAAGTGATGCATTGTGATTTCACAAGTTATAAAACAAGTGATTTCATCACTTGTTCTATTATCTCACCTTTCAGCTTCAATTTATATCTTAGTAAATTTGCTGTTATAAACCATGCATTTTTTCTTTTTTTGGAGAAATTAACATGTTTAACTTTAAATTTCTGGCCGGTAATATTAAATTGTTGTAGCATATGTGGTAAATCGTGTAAAATTTCTGGTGCAATAAAATGCCAACTTCTGAACGTACATAATGTGCTTTGTTCTTACCGCTATAAATAAGTAGGACCTTTCGGTATTTTGATATTCTTTTCTCTTCTTAGTTTTAAAAATGTGCAGTATTTATTTTTAAGGAAATTCGTCTCTTATTCTGAACAGACAAGTAATCTCTTTCTCGTTCTATTTGTTATCTTCCTGTATACTTTTTCATGTGTTTAAAAGCATTATAAAAGTAAAAATATTAAAATCCAAAAGAGTATAAAATAATTTGCTAATAAAACTAGTAAAAAAATCGTTATTGTTACCTTAGAACATTATCGTCAACCATACACAAAATTCTAACAATATTTGAAGTAACTTTCGATAAATACCGTGTTTACGATTATAGCAGTAGATAAGACTTTAAACAAAATATAAGGACTCAAATTAAAAAAGATAATTTATTAAAAACTAAAATTTGTTATGTTATCTTTTAAAAAAATCATTTGATACTAAATGTCAAACTCGACATTATATAAATGAGGTAATTATAATGTTGACTTAGGCTTGTCCACAGTTGGATAAAAAATAGGAAACGTGTAGATGTTTGAAACAATGTAATTAGGCCATACGTGCTTTATTATCAATTAAAAAACAATGGTTTAATAGTTATTTATACACCAAGGATGTTATTAAGATGTTTACGCCCTGAGGCCAACATAATCTCCAAACAGCCAGAGGGTCTATGGCCCGAGGGATGGATCTTGTTTGATAGACATGAGCATCCGGTAACACACAAAATATGCATATATATATATATATATATATATATATATATATATATATATATATATATATCGAGAAAAAGAGTACGACCGTCAATCCAATATAAAATAAGGCGGGTTTTTCGGTCAAAAATTGGAGAAAAAAGACAAAGATGATGGCTACTTCATCTATTTATTGAAAACGTTTCGCTATTAAATTTGATAGCATCATCAGTTCATCTAAAAAGAACAATATGAAAAACCTAACATTCAATGAAAAGTTATTAAGTATGTTACCTTAAAAAGATATGTCAGTGATATTAACAATTATTGTAAAGGAGCTTACGGCAATGGACATTGTATAAACAATACATTGAATTAAATATAGTTGACAATTTTCATAAAATTAGCACAGCAAAAAAACATGTGGTAGTTGTACATGTATGTTAAAAAAAATATAGGTAAAAACTTATCATGTATAAAAAACAAAATTAGTAAAGAACTAAAAGGTCCAAGAATGCACTTCCAACAGTAATTCAATAATTAAGATTTCATTTTAACTTTAGGTAGCATTATTCTAATGTTTAATTAAAAATTTAGTAATTTAAAAAAGTAATAATGAAGTTACCACTGAGAGCTTGTCGAGTGCTGCCGGTGAAATGAAGGCAACAGGGTTAAACGTCAACAACGTGAAAAGACAGATGCCAAGAGGTCAACGAGTGACAGAACAACAACGCGTATTACTACCAACTCCAGTACAATAATTATACTTTCGTACCATTCTTGGACCTTTTAGTTCTTTTCCACACTAATTTTGTTTTTTATACATGATAAGTTTTTACCTATATTTTTTTTAACATACATGTACAACTACCACATGTTTTTTTGCTGTGCTAATTTTATGAAAATTGTCAACTATATTTAGTTCAATTTATTGTTTATATAACATAATTATACAATGTCCATTGTCGTAAGCTTCTTTACAATAATTGTTAATATCACTGACTGCTACATATCTTTTTGAGGTAACATACTTAATAACTTTTCATTGGATGTTAGGTTTTTCATATTGTTCTTTTTAGATGAACTGATGATGCTATCAAATTGGATAGCGAAACATTTTCAATAAATAGATGAAGTAGCCATCATCTTTGTCTTTTTTCTCCAATTTTTGACCGAAAAACCCGCCACTCTTCGAGTGATCCTTATTATATATATATATATATATATATATATATATATATATATATATATATATATATATATATATATATATATATATATATATATATATATATATATATATATATATATATATATATATATATATATATATTGTAGGTGTGTCACCATAGGAAGGTTAGGGTCTTCACAGGAAATAACTCCATATCAGCTCCCTAGGTGCTCTACAGAGGGCTTCGGTTAATCAATCCGAAGTTGCCTCTACTTTTAGATCTTAATTAGGCAGGATGGATAAATAAAACTTGGTTTTAAAGTCGCAAAAGGACCTAGCAAAAGAGTCTCAGGACAAGCAAGGAGGCCCCTAGGCGTAGGACACCCTACGTCGGGAACGTAGTAAAGCTAGGCTTGACTAATAGCTTGGAAAATGCACCCTTTTATATACACTTTATTTTGTATCGATATGTGCATTTCCAATTCCTCAGACTACACTCGATGACATGCCCCTCCTTTGAAGACTCTACTGGAAAAGAATTTATTTAAAATAATACATTTTTACCTGAGAAAATACAATAAAAGTACACTACAAACAAAAAATGTAACCCTAAACAAAAGTGTATGCAAAAGTTGAAAATATAAAAGAAATTAAAAAGATTCATAAAGTTTATATAAAAAAAATATCGAAAATAAAGTCCGTACCTAATTCACTACACAGCACAGTAGCTTCGGGTGGTCATCTTCTTCTTCTGCAGGTGCCGTCTTGCGTCACAGCACCTTCGACTTCAACGTCTTCGTCCTCCTCTAAGCCATCGGTAACCCATGCCCATTTGCCAGCCGGTTTCTCCGTAGGAGGTATGCCTGCATCTACGTGGTTACTAAGCACCACCTGCGGTAGGGCAGGGAGTGACTCCGCTTCTACTCCGGAGTCTCAGTAGCTTCTGGGGCTGATGGCTTCGGTGACTTCTCGGTCGCTGAAACTTCCGATACTGGATAGTGTCAGACACTACAGAATCGGTCGATGATACCATTAGCTACTGGTATGGAGGTTTTAGCTGAACTCAGTGGGAGCCTGGGCTGTAGGTTTGTGTTTTTCTAATTGGGCTCCATGTCACCATAGAGAGGTTAGGGTCTACACACTAAATAACTCTATATCAGCTCCCTAGGTGCTCTACAGAGGGCTTCCATTAATCAATCCAAAGTTGCATCTACTCTTCCATCCTAATTAGGCGGGATGGATAAATACAACTTGGTTTTAAAGTCTAAAAAGGTCCTAGCAAAAGAGCCTCAGGACAAGCAGGGAGCAGAGCTCCGTGAATGAGGCCCCCAGGCGTATGACACCCTACGTGGGGACAGTAGTAAAGCTAGGCTTGACTAACCATGGCTTGGAAAATGCACCATTTTTTATACACTTTATTTCGTATTGGTATGTGCATTTCCATCGGCCAATCATAAATTTCGTATGAGGTCGAAAAGTGGGGTTCTGCGCATAGGAGTGCGTACTAGTCCTCAGACTATGACACTCGAGGACAGGTGCAGTAAAACAAAAAGTAAAAAAGTCCCAATTTTAGTTTTTATTTTATCTGAAGTGAAAAATAAAATTTGTATGTACCGCTGGTGTTACCGGATGGTTACGCCCATCGAGCAATATCCATCCCTCGGACCAGAGGCCCTCTGGCTGGAACATATTGCTGTCCGGGCATAATTATCTTAATAACACCCTTGGTGTATAAACAACTATTAAACCATTGTTTTTTTCATTGATAATGAAACGCGTATGGCTCCTGTCTTGTCAAAATAATAGAACAACGTTTGAGCCTAAATTTAGGTCCTTTATAAATTCAAAAATAATGTTTTTAATTGTGTTTCAGCCTTCAAATCGTAATTTTGCGTTTTTCTCAGATGATTATATAAAAAAAAACTCATGGGAATATTTTTCCGAACGAGCCCAAAGTTTTCGCCTTTTTTTCTATTAAGTTAATGTAGTGTATTTCAAAAAGTAGCTATCAAATGGATGAAGCACAAAAAATTACAACAAAATAGTCTACTTTTTGTTTACGTATTTGTTAATACGGGAAGGAATTTGCTGGAACAATGAAAATACTCTTTATTTCATTTTTATTTTACAAATCTTACTTTTCATGATAAAACAAGAGTTAAACAATAATATCAAGAGTTAAACAATATTACAATATTGTATTAAAATATTATCCTAATTAGTTTAATTTTTAAAATAATTTTCATCGAAAAAACTGATTTTTTCTTAATTATATAGAAATTATATTATTAAATTAAATATTATTTTTAAATTAACTGATTAATGTTTAATACATAGAAATATACACAGTCACTTGTAATTTTACTTGTCCAGTTTTTCAATGGGATATGATTGTCTAAGAATTCTGTTATCTCTTGTTCCTTCTTCTTATGCAAAAAGTTTCTTCTGTCTTCGGGATTCTTTCTTTCTTTAGTACCATGAACAGTTACATATGATGGTACTTCAGAAAATATATTAGGAACTGTATTGTCTTTTAATTTGGGAAATATTAACTTTTCAATGTGTACATTTCCATCTTTATCTTCTCATTGTTCAGTCCGCTGAACATCATCTTCATGAAAATGTTTGGAAAATACTACGGAAGATTTGGTAATTGTATAGCCTTCTCTATGAATAGAGCATAACCCAGTATACCTTCTTTGGGGATCTTTGGGAAACGAAAACGTACTTTTTGCCTGTTTTGTTTTTAAAGTACTGGCATAATTGGTTTTGCTACCAGGTACACAACAACGCCCGGGCATCTCTAACAAAAAACAAAAGTATTATTATTGTTATTTTTAGTTTACATATTTTGTAACAAGAAGCAAAAGTATTATTATTTTCAGTTTGTTTTGTAGGTTATATTTATACTTGCCTTTTAAATTGCCGTTAAGAATCTTCTAAAAGTTCTAAACTTAATGAAATTTCACTTATATTAATATTTTCTAATTGATTTAAACACAATTTACAAATAAAACATTCGAATAAAGTTTAAAAAATACTAAATTCAACAAACTTTACAAGCCTTCCTACGGTCGGACTACCACGCGTTGTTGGTAGTCCGACCAAATTTCTACTTCATGGCTTGGAACTTGGAAGTAAAGGTGGCTGTGATAGTGCACGTCTTCGATGCGAGACGAAAAAAGGTCGATTCAAACACATCAGTCACGTCTCGTCACAGTCCTGGCGCCGAACCGAACAATCCGTCATACAAAATATTCTTTAATAGAAATATGGCGCCGGCATTCACATTCATCAGTTCACGAACAGTTTCCCATCTGTCAGATAATTAATAGTTCGGTGACCAAACAGGACCGGTTCGGCTCCGAGACTGTGACGGGACTGACGTGTCTGAATCGACCTTTAGAGGTGGGCTACTTCAGAATATTCTAGTACGTAATAACTTTTATACATAAGCATACCTTTTATGAGTTAAGGTTAGTTGATAAGATATTTTCGTGTTGTAAACTTATAAATATAATTATATAAATTAAGAACCGCTCGTTTTATTTAAAAACGGTACAGTATTGTATCGGTTACACAGAGAGGGCAGCCCTTCAGGTTATTTCATTCTTAAATAAAAAATACAATAAAAAAAATACCTATTCAATTATGTACTTTCCGTAAAGCCATAAAATTATGAAATTATGCGTCACATTGGTGCCTCACAGGAGTATCTAAAAAAGAAAAATAAAAATTTAAACTTATTTTATAATAGTCAAGGAACATTTCATGTAAATGGGTGCGGTTCTTTAGAATTTTAAGGTTTTACAATATTTTTACCGTGAAAGGATAGACTATTTTGTTTTTGTTATCTCTACGTCGAGATTAATCACTAGAAACTATAATCTGTCTGATTTATTTTTAATGGAAACAAGTTATACCCATCCACGGTTGTAGAGCCAAAGATGATGAGGTCTTGAAGCATAATGGGTAATCCACGATGAAAAATTCATAATCACATTTTTGTGTACGTTCCGTTTGTTATTTACGATTTCTTTTTTTGTTACTTATTCAAACGTCAGTTGACCGTTAGAAACAATTTTTTCAATACAAAATACATAGACGTAATGCGACAAAAACAAGCAATATAAAAAAGACACGTGATTTTTCTAATTTTTCTTGTGTGACTAAACTTCCTTGACGTACTATATAATTATTCGTCATTACTTGTATTAGCTAAGGCGTTCAAATGGGTGTTTATAAAACTTATTTTTATTAATTGGCACATGTCCAATTTAGTAATATTTACAATTTATATATCATCAATGGCTCTTTAATTGACTTGTTTATTTTCTATTGATGGGTCGTTACTCGTTGCCTGAAAATTTTGTCAAAGGTTATATTTCTTTTAATACTACTAAAAGATAGTTATATTGTGTACCTCTGTTTACAGTATTATTTGTGTTTTTTATCGAGCGGTTTATTTTTTGCGGTTTTGTGGTATTTATATTGAGGTACTTGCCGCTTATGTTTCTTTTTATCAAAGATTCGCTCTTTATGATATAAAACACCTACAGAAATGTTTTTAATATATTATGATTATGATATGTATTATTCATCGAAAACAAGTTTTTGCTATCTCATCGCGCGTTGTTATTTTTTATAGGAAATCAGTTTTTTTTTCTAAGTAACGTATAAAATATAGGTATTACATTGATTTAACAGGGGGTCAATAGAGGTGTACTTTAAATAACTGGATATAGAATTTTGCAGGAACACTTTGTAAGAAATTATTACGTGTTATATTAAATTCTTTAAATACCCAAGCAATAAAAGTAAGATAATATTCACTTTTGTCAATAATGTGGTAAAATGACACCACATAGTTAAACAATATAAAATTTTTTGTTAGTTACTGTAATTATATTAACATATTATTTAAAACCTAAAATTTTCTTGACAGTCATGGTTTTAAAGCATTTCATTCAATATTTATACAACTATAACAACAGAGTAGAGAATAATTTCAGTTTCTTCTTCTTCTTCTTCTTGTATGTAAACTTTAAAGCCTGTTTCTTGTTCAATATTAGCCTCCTAAATTGTTTACATTATTGCACCATCTTCTTCTTGGTCTGCCAATACTTCTTCATCCATTTGGTGACTTATCTCATGCTCTTGTTCGTTCCACACGTTTTTCCGTTTTGTCACCCATCCATTTATGTCTTCTACATGCATGCTCTTTTTACGTTTTCGCTTCTGTTGTTTCTAGTAGTCGTCTTGTTTTATAGGTGGCAGGTCTTGTCTCCGCCGTGTCTGTTAATATAGGTCTAATTGCTGCTTTAAAGATTCTTGTATTAGTCAGGCCTGGAGTTTAGGGGTCTACATTGTAAAAATGACCTGCACCCTATCCTCCATGCTATGGCATGCTGGACGACCCATACAGTCTGTAGTCGACACCCCGAGGTATGAGCGGGAATACAAAGTGTACCAATACTCATACGCTTATGAAACGTACCTGGCGGATCATAAGGGCCTTCACATTTTGCTCTTTTTCAACTTGTCTGGAGTGAAATGTCTTTAATCTTTCCTATCGGCCTCTCTTGGCAAACTCTTGTTTTTCCGACCCCGAGTGGCTATTAGGGTAATCCGAGGGCGGACGGGTCACTATAATTCTGTCTACTACAGTCTACTACTCTTCTCTCGACTAAGGGAGTAAACCCTAACAGAAAATCCTGGTCCTCCTGGTAGCAAACGAAGACGACGTAGCAAACGAACAAGGACTTTGAATATAAATACATGGAATATCCAAGGGTGGAGAACCAAGTCAGACAAAGTCATGGCTGAAGTAAAGAAAATAAAATCAGATATCACGGTTCTTACCGAAACAAAGAAAAAAGGCGAAGGTAGTGAAGACATAGGAGGTTTTATACATATTTATAGTGGAGTAGATAAAGACAAAAGAGCACAAGCAGGGGCATCAATATTGATAAAAAAGACTTAAAAGGAAACCTGAAAAGCTGGGAGCAGATCAATGAGAGAATTATTAGAGTATCTATTACGTTGAAAGGGCACGACCTCGAGATCATTGGAATATATGCTCCGTCAGAAAATGCATCAAAAGCAGCTAAACAAATATTCTATGAAACTTTATCGGAACTCATTGAAAATATAAATAGCCGCAAAGAAATTGTGCTGTTGGGAGATTTTAACGCTTGGACAGGAACAAAAATAAATGACAAAGTCGTAGGAAAATATGGTGACGCTAAAAAAATGAAAATGGGGAACACTTAATCGAATTCCGTGAACAGCACTCTCTGAAAATCCTAAACGGATTCTACCAACATAAAAATATACATAAGTACACCTGGGTTCAACCAACGAGAAACACAAAGTCAATTATAGATTATGTCATCACAAAACAAGAAACACACATACAAGTTGAAGACATAAGAGTACTAAGAGGACCGGAGTGCGGAACTGACCACTATATGGTAAGATCAAAATGTTACCTACAGTATCGACCTCGGCTACTACATCAAAATGACAACCAACTAGCTCAATCAAAACCCCTGGAATCGAATCTACCTAAATACAATATTGATGCACTGCAAAACGACTCGACATCATTCTTATATAAGCTGCGACTTAGCCAAAAATTGGCAAACCTGATCTACTCCTCAGCCCAGAATACCTATAAAGAGATAATCAATAAAATCAATGAAGCAGCTTACGAAGCGCTCGGCACAATCCAAAAGAACAAAAAGAATACTCCATTCTTGGACAAATCATATCGCCAATGTAGTATACAACAAGAAACAAGCATATCAAAAGTGGCTGCAAACAAATGATCCAGATGATAGACGAACATATGCAAGATCAAACAGAGAAGTAAAAAACTTAGTAACTAAAGCAAAAAATATTTCCTGGGAAAGTAAATGCGAAGAACTCAACAAATATATAGGGTCAACAAGATCAAGAGAAGCATGGAAAACGGTAAAAAATCTGAAAACAAACAGAAAAGAAACGAGTAGAATAGATTTAATAGAAGAAAAATCTTGGATCGAACAGTACTCACAACTTTTGACTGAAACAAGACCTCAATTCACGAACATCAGTACAACAACATATGAACTGGAATTCAGTGAAGACGATGAAATAACAGTACAGGAAGGGAAGTACAAAAAATGGGAAGTTATGCGGACCACAAGGTATACCAAATGAATTATTAAAACATAGCCCACAAGTATTACGGGAATTACTGGCGTATGTCTTTACCTTATTCTATAATGGACACGACTTACCACCGGAGTGGACAAAAGCACATATTAACAACATATACAAAAAAGGAGATAGAAAGAATTGTTCAAACTATATGGGGGCTAAGTGTCATAAATTCACTCTCAAGACTGTATGGAAAAATAATAAAAAATAAAATTGAAAAAGAGATGACAGATGTAGAAGAACAGAATGGCTTTCGTGCAGGCAGATCCTGCATGGACAGTATATTCTCTCTAAAGCAAGTTATCGAGAAAAGATTAGCCCACAACCTTTCAACTCATATAGTCTTTATAGATCTGACAAAGGCATACGATAGTGTACCACTTTCAATGCTTTGGGTAGCAATGGAAAAACAAGGAATAAGCAAAAAAATATACAAGCAGTACAACAGCTCTACAAAAATATGACGACAAACATTAAAACTGGAAATAGATTAACTAGAGAAATTCCTATTAGTAAGGGCCTAAAGCAAGGCTGCTGCATAGCACCTACACTCTTCAAAATATATCTAAATAAGGCACTCTCACTGTGGAGAAGAAAGTGCTGCAATATAGGCATCCCAATCGGAGATGATAGATTGTACACGATACATTTCGCTGACGACCAAGCCATTCTAGCTGAAGACGAGAGTGATATAAGCTACATGCTTAAAAAACTGGAAGATGAATCCACCAAATGGGGCCTCACAATTAATATACAAAAAACTGAGTACTTAGTTGTAGTAGAAAAACCAGAAAGCCTACAAATCGAAATGGGAACTATAAAACCAACAGACAATTTTAAGTACTTGGGAGTAACATCAAAAGTAGGAAGTAGCGAAGAAATACATTCCAGGATTGGCCAAGCAAGATCAGCCACCAGACAGCTACACAGACTATTATGGAATAAAAAAATAACAAAAGAAAATAAAAGAAGAATTTATAAAACAATAATAGAATGTATTGGACTGTACGGCGCCGAACTCTGGGAAATAAACCAAAGAAACAAATCAAAAATTAAGGCCATGGAAATGAACTACTGGAGACGATGTTACCAGCTCACTAGACTTGATAGGGTGAGAAACGAAGATATTCGGAGAGAAATGGAAATCGATCTAGACATAATAGACACAATCGAAGCCAAAAGACTTAACTGGTATGGACACCTTCAGAGAATGCCGGAAAATAGATAGCCAAAAAAAATAGAAGAATGGACTCCGCCAACTAGAAGAAAACGAGGTAGACTAAGACGATCCTGGAGAGACGATGTCGAAGATGCAATGACCGCCAGAGATCTAACAACTGAAGATTGCTTCGACAGAAAACGCTGGAAATTAGGATGCGAGAAGCGGCGCCAGCTGTAGAAGACTCGCTTGTCATATATAAGATTCTTGTTTTTGTGTCTTGTCTTATTGTGTCATTAAGAGAGCCCGCCACTTTACTAGAGCTACCACTTTAAGCTTTGTTGTCGTACTTCTTCAACATCTCCGTAACTATTTCTATCTATTCTCGGATATCTAAACCTTGCTTCCTGCTTTATTATTTTCCCATCAATTTCGATTTTACATAGTAGTGGGTATTTAGATGTTGTCATACATTTGGTTTTTTCTGCTGATATTATCATATTGTATTTATTGGCTGTTGTATTGAAGATGTGTGTTAATCTTTGAAGCTCGTCCTCTGCCTCGGCGATTAATGCGGCATCGTCTGCATCCCATAATATTTGGATTTTTATGTTCCCCATTCTGTAACCATGTTTGTTTTCTATATTACGTAAAAGCTTTCAACAAAGTAAACATCGATATTCTCAGAAAAACTGGTAGGTATACAATATAATGATCTGAGGATAATATGAAATTTATATACCCGACAAAAAAGCATTGTTGAAGTCAGTGGCGGACTAAGGCTGCCACTAAACATAATTTATTAAAACAAACAATACTTAAACAAATATACCCAAATTGATTAGCCTTTCTTGAGAAGAATAGAGAATGATCTTTTACCGCCAGCATTGCTTAATGGAAGGGTTAAATAAATTCTCAGAATTTTGTTAATATTTGGGAATCTTACAATCATATTATTTTCCTGAATAAATAGCCATATGGATACAGGCGATAGACAGATATTCTTATCAAGAGTTTGTTTATGTATAGCTTGTTTGCAATTGGTCCAACCGCAGGCAAGTTTACTCCACTAAAGTATGACATATTGACACTAATGACATTTGTGAAATTTATTTATTATTATTATTTTGCTCTAATATATCATATAAATCGATTTCTGACTCTTTAAGTTGTTTGTAATAACTTGGACTTGGTGATATGCGAATAGTATTTAATGTGATATTTTTCTAGATGATATTTATACTAAATATAGTTTGAAGTGTTTATAAATGTATGTTATTTATATCTAATTATCATAAGGAAAACGGCATCTATCTTTTAAATTTATAGTGTATACTTGTTAAGAAGCATTTCAATTTTAGTTTTCATCACAATAAAAGAACATTAGTAAAGTAATGTTGTGTTTTAGTTTGATTGTATTGATACAGTTGGTTTTGTTCTTCCTGGTTGTAGATCATCACAAGAAAACTGCAAAATTATGCAAGAATGTAACATAATAGATTGGATTTGTTGATTATCTCACAGAAATCCAGTATTTTTTAGTAAATTTTATTTGTTGATAACAAATGGGACAAACTCACTGTCAAAATTAAACAAGAATCCAGCATTAAAGAAATTGTAAGTACACACTTATTTATACAAAGTATCTGGTAAGAAAAAAAAACTAGATTCAAAAAATTGATCATACCAGAATAAGAATATGGTCTACTATTAAAAGACAAATTTCTGAGAAAAACCATACTTAGATCTGTAACATTATTGACTCTCCCGATCAAAATATTCTCTAAATTATAATTAAATACCCTAGACTAAAGAGATCTATAAAACTGGATCACCCGATATTTAAATATGTATACATGGGACCAAATGAGAAAAAAGTGTGAATAAAAAAATTATTGTAATAATTGTAATATATATATTGGAAGTAAATTGAAAAAAAAATATTTTATTATTCAAACATAAATAAACAAAATTAGGTTAAAATTGAGGTGTGAGGTTGTCCGTTATTGATTACTCGATTACTGCAAGGCCGAGATAATCAACAAAAAAAGATGTATTTGGTAACTTTTCTAGTAACTTTCTTGGGTGTGAATCTGTCTTTTTGGTTTACTCCTCCTGGTTAAAAAACAGAGTATAGTAGGAACCAGGAGGAGGGGCAGGCCAAGATCTAGATTCAAAACTCAAGTCGAAGATGACTTGATGAATCTAGGGGTCAGAAATTGGAAAGCCAAGGCGAAAGATAGGGGGGAATGGAGACTAATTCTTGAACAGGCCAAGACACACTCAGGGTTGTAGAGCCGAAGATGATGATGATGATAGATACAGGCGAAATAATATGTTCTTCGAAAAAATTGTTTTGAAAAATGGATTCATAGTATAGGAGTTCGTTACAGATTCAATGTTTTTCAAATGCTGCTTATATAATTCCTCATACTTTAACATTTATTTATAGGGAAATACATAGCTTTGGATTTTTAAACAAAACAAATGATGTATCAAAATATTCAAGGTTTTAACCTAACGGCAATTTTATAATTAATGATATTGTTATCAAAAACATGCCACAAATTAAGCACATAACCTTGAAATTATTTCCAACAAAAATATAAATATAATTAAATAATGTTATTCTCAAATCTTAATGGAATGCCTGGAACAGAAAATTGAGGCTGTGGTAATAGTTGGTGATAAGTATTAACTTTAATTTTTTCTGAAATCATTAGGTTGAGAATATTATTCTAGGACTATTTGGGGATTTAATCCTAGAATGGAACGAATGGAATAGATATGATGATATGACTGTTCAGCAAGATGGTGCCCCATGCTACCTCAGATTTACATCAAAACACTAAAAATATTTACAATGGAAGAGTTTTTCATAGTTTCTTTGAAATTCACTGACCTCTAGATTTAAACTAACTCGATTTGTTCTTGTGCGATTACTTAAAGCAAGAAATAAGTATATTTGTAAACAGCCATTTCAAGAAGTTGACAATTTTATCAAAATGGTTCATAGTATAACTACTTGCAAAGTTATTAATGTTTTAAGATAATCTTGTAATAGAATGGACAGATGTATGAACAGGGATGAGGATAATTGTTTTGATAACAGTAGATTTTTATATAAAATTTTGTTTCGAATTGTTTTATTGAATTTAAACATATTGTATTAATGTGCAAACTTAAATTTAATATGTTGAACAAAACAGATTTTTACTATAAATAGTGTTTTTAATATAAACAAAGTATTTGACAGTTATTTTTTATTCTAAACATTTTGTTATTAAAAAAAACATTTGCATTGAAAAAAAATTGTATTAACTTGTTTAAACTAACTGATGGATCGATCTGAAATTTTGTTTCCGGTTCGTTCAGCAGCACAAAACTTTGAACTATTAAAAGTGTAGGTTGATTTTTGTAAGAACTATAAAACAATCATGATTTTGCATTATTCTGCAGTTTTTGGAGCAATATGAGATTTCGAACCTTTGACACAATTTTTGAATTGTTCTTCAAATACTTACCTTTTTAGGGGCAAGTAAAAATTTAGTAACCACCTAATTATCTCTAGGAAATCTGTACCAATAGAAGTATCTAAAAGTCTGCAGGTTACAAAAAAAAAACAATATTCTGAGATTCACACACAAAATTGGTAAATCCGAAATAAATGTGTTAAAAAAATTGAACATTGAAATACAAGAAACACAAGAATACCATTAATTTCATTCATAATTAAAAAACAAATGAAATAAACAACTAGGCCAATAGAATGCATCCACGATACTAATAGCATAAAGAAGGTAATCAACTAGATCTGAAAAACTCAATATCAATAAATAAAGTTTTTTAGGTCTCTACTCTATTCAATAATTAATTATATAATAATGAAAAGATAACAGAAAAAGATAATGTGTTTATAGTACTGGTACTTTTTGATTTTGAGAAAAAATTCAATTGAGTGAAATACTGAGCATGTGAGCATTAATAATTGACTTACAAAATTGTTGAATTAACTACAGATATTTAAGTCGTAACCACTATGACTTAAATTGATAATATATCTCAAGATTTTTCATAAATATTACAAAAATCATAAGAGTCTCACCTATTGAATGCATAGAATACAAGACATAAATTGTGCGAACTCACTGTGAACCATCAACAAACAGTAATTTGCAAATTTTTAAGTGTTTTTGAATTAAACAACGCCTGGTAAAACCCCAGAATCTTAATTAATTAATAATATCTTATCAAAAAAGCCAATCTTTATAGATAATTGTGATTTACTTCAGATTTCATTTCACCTTGGGAAGAACAAATTCCGGCGCGCGTTTTGCGACAACAAAGTTTACCTACACACCGAATGTTCGAGTTAAAAATAATTATGTGAAAATAAATCTATACCTACTTACGTAAATTCCAAATATCAATCTGTATTAGCATTTTTCTTTAAATATCATCGTTACACAATCGGATATAACCTCAACATGGTTGTGGAAATGAAAACATACATTTTGTTAGTATCTCATAGGTATCACTAATCTTGCAAATGATATAACAATGTTGTGTGTTAAGTTTTACTGCTGAAGCAAGCTCTAGCGTCATTGCAAAATAATTATTTAACAATGTTAATTGCGATTTATTGATATATATAACATTGAATTAAAACTTGATCACAGATCAATTCATAGTACATACCCCCCTAGTAAGGTAACTCCCATATAAAGTTTTGGAAGAGAGTTTCTAGCGCCAAATACGGACGGGCCGAAACTAATTTCATTTGGCGGCAAATTCAAAACGTAAATTCAGAATTTTAGGCGGCAAATTCAAAAAATATGCTCTGAATTTTAGGCGCCAAAATTCAAAAAGTATGTTTTTAATGGAAAGTAAATATAGTCATAAAATAAGAAATAAAAACTTATTCTATGCCAGAAAATATACCCTCTCTGTCCAAAAATATAGTATACACCTACACATTTATATATATATAAATGTATAACATATCTGATACAGAGAGAGTATATATTATGGTACAAGAAAGTTTTTATTTAATATTTTATGATTATATCTGTTTTCCATTACATTAACAAACCAAAGTCCCAAAAATAACAAAATAAAACACAAACATCCTGACACTTGTTTATTTGTATAATTTTCTTTGGTAAAGTATTGGCAACATATCCTTCTCCTCCTTACTTAAGCCCTTGTTAAGGTGTGGGTGGGGAAACTCTAAATATTGTTAACTTGCTGTCTCCATTGGCTGCAATTCTGTACCAGATGAACAACTTCGTGAAGGGATTTTTCCACCAATCTTCATTTAATCTTCCCATCATGTTGTGAGATCGTCATTTTGATATACAAATATAGATACCTCTATATTTATTAGCAATGGTTTGTAGTAAGTTCCATACCTTCTAAAATACTTTTCCTTAAAGTACCATATGTATATAATAAAGTGTAAACCCTAGCATATCTGCGATCTTGCTCTTCACAATGATCACAAATTGGCATGTGACTCAATGTAACTGTTACTCAGAAGTAGAAGATCCATGAAAATCTAAAATAATGAAATATTATTAAAATTAAGAATGTATTGACTTTGTTTATAAAATAAGGCCAATTTTAGGAATGCAATTAAAAGAGTCATAAGAGTTTTTTTTATAAAATAAGGCCATGTTTAGGAATGCAGTGATAAGAGTTAAGAGTTTTAATGAGTTTAAAATCTATACAGTATATAAATATAAGATTAATGTTAGTTAAGATTGGGTAAATTAACTATAAAAACAAAATAGTATCAAGTTTGTGTTTACTAAAAGTTTGGTATAATTAGGTGCTGTTCTTACCCGATGCTTGTAAAAATAAACTAATCCTCAGAATGTTTAATAGCCGTTTGTCCAATAACTTTCACCCATCAACAAAAATTATTCTTGGGAAATACTATACCATTTTGGTAATATACCTTCTTCTTTAGCAGGTCTATTAGATATATAAAATTTGATGTATACTGTTTTTATCGTCTATTTCTAAAATTTGGGATACGACTATTGTAAACAGTCTGGTGTAGAATTGTTTATTTTCCTCATAATAAATGTCAACCATTATGAAAACAAGTCCATTTCATTTTTTGGGTTTAGAAAACGAAATCGACTGTTTGTGTAGCCGGTGCAACCATGAACATAACATTTTTTTTACCTTTTATTCCATTTCAACGATGGTAAAACACAATTTTTACAATTAAGATGATAATAACCAAAACCAAACACAAATCTGAATTTGCAATATGGCGTGCCAATCTAAATTAAATTTCGCCACAGCACATGCGTCTCCACCTCCCACCTAACGTGACTAGTAGCGCCGCCGCCATTAAGAACGGATGGGCCCATGCAAAACACTATCCCCTCCCGTCCTATTCTACTTACACTACTATTGGGGTATGTATTGTGGATCAATTCGGTTGATTGTTTAAGACAACTGTCAAAAATCAAATAAAAACTTTATTGTATTCTTTTTTATCCATTTACTGAGTGACTGATCCCTTATTAAACAGTACATTCAGAATTAAACTATTATAAATTAAAAAAATACAAATTTATTATAGGATGGTGCAATTTAACATAAAAAAATTGATTATTTCAGAGAGCTGTAAAATTTAAATTCACACGTGATACATGGCATGGAACATTTTGAACCAATGTGAAAATTTAGGCAATTCATTTGTCAACCAATAGAGTACAGAATAATAAACAATAATTCAGAGTACAGAAGCAATTAAGTATGTAGTGTATTTCTACAAAAAAAGGACATTCGACAATACGTTCTTCATTATCATGATAATAATATGGAAACGTTATGCGAAAATGAAAATTCTAATAAATATCTAAGTGTAATGTATGTTGCCTGTTTTTGGACCTTTCTGCTGCTATGAATAGAGTTATTATCACAGTATAGACAACTGTGATATATTATACTCGGCTCGCTGATTCCAGTCGCAACACTTAAAAGCTTACTATTTATTTATTTTTTGTTACGTTGGTTAAATTTGACCGACTGTCCAGCCAAGCATACCTGCTCCTAGCCAATATTAAACAACAACAAAAACTCACATGCAACTTATTAACAAAACAAAACTTTTATTTTATAGACATTTTTATAGTCGCTTATAGAATAGTATTTATAAATAAAAGTTTTTACTGAAAATTAATGAATGTACACTTCCATTATTCATGATTATTTTTTCTTTTCCTATGAAAGAAGTCTGCAAGAGTAAGTTTATTTGAGCTATTAATGTTGTATTTCATTATAAATAGGTACTGATTTTGAAACTGTTAACTTATGACATGTTTAAGTTAATTATTATGTTTATATGGGAATAAGCGACAACTTTTCTTTTCCACACTTGCAGCATGGCTTGTTCGGATTTGTTCATTGTCCATGTTTCTCTGACATATAATGCTATACGTTTTATTACTCTCTTATATATTCATATCTTCTACTTCTTAGAATTCATATATTTTTCCTTCTGTGATTATTGTAGGTATTGTCCCTGTTTGTATTGTTATTCTATCTATTCTTTAGTCTTTTCTTCGTTTATCCCTTTCTTTCTAGCATCGCTTCTAGTCCTTTTAATAGTTCCTTTAGTTCGTGTTTATTTCTGGCTATCATTACATCATCTGATGACATAATCAGCGAATACTAGACATTGGTGTTTTGGTTGAAATACATTTCTGTTACAGTCCTTTTAATTCCGTCTTCTTTGACACTAATTTCAAGAAGGACACTGAACAAAAGTAATGACAGTGGGTCCCCTTGTCGCTTACTCATTGACTTCAAACTTATGTTTCTTTTCAATTTATTTTTACCCTATTCTCTGTTTTCCTGAGTGCCACTCTTATCATTCTTACCTATTTCCATTTTACTCTGTCAAAAACTTCTTTAGTCTTTCTTCGTTTATGTATATCCCTTTCTTTCTAGCATCGTTTCTAGTCTTTTTAACAGTTCTTTTAGTTCTTGTTTATCTCTGGCTATCATTACATCATCTAATGACATAATCAGCGAATACTAGACATTGGTGTTTTGGGTGACATACATTTTTGTCACAGTCCTTTTAATTCCGTCTTCTTTGACACTAATTTCAAGAAAGACACTGAACCAAAGTAATGACGGTGGGTTCCCTTGTCGCTAGGGATGGCGGTTTTTGACAAAACACCGGTTTTCGGTTATACCGGTTTTTTTTTGCTTACGGTTTAACCTGGCAGTTATAACCGGCCAAAAAAACCGGTTTTCGGTTTTTTTAATCAAATAGATTAAAAAGTTACATTTACAATGCACTTTAGTTTGCGATACTACATTCGCAACACAATTTTTTGTGTTTTGTGAGAAAACAATTCCCCAGACTCTTTCAAATGGGAAAATAATATCAACATAAATATTTTACTTAAAAATAAATTGGATAATGCAATGCATCTTTTATTTTTACTACCATCAAAAAAAATTTATCATGTATTACTTTTAACTCATTTACGACTTCCGGTATGGGTATAAATCGTTTTGAAAACGTAGGGAAATCCTTGTAGATTCGTATTCGTAATCGGTAATTCGATATTCATAGTCATTATCGTCATTATTTTTGGTAATCAGAAAAAGCCATTCACCCACTTTCAATGTTAAGAGTCAAATAACCATAATAAATACCAGATCACTTCTTATGTAAAAATACTATGATTATAAATACTTTTTCAACGAAATACTATAATAAACATTAATTGTTTCTGTCTGTGAGCTTTTGCTTCTGTATTAAATAAAATAAAAATTGAATTTTAGTTTTGTTTGGAATAATTACTTGAGAATAATAATTATGATTGGGTGGGATCCAAAATAATACCTAACCTAATCCTAATCACTGTAAAAACCTAATAACCGGTTTTTACTTTAAAAATAAAAAACCGATAAAACCGGTTATTTCGAAGTAAAAAAAGGTTTTCGGTTAAAACCGGTAGGTTTTTCCCATCTCTACTTGTCGCTTTCTCATTGACTTCAAACTTATGTTTCTTTTCAATTTATTTTTACCCTATTCTCTGTTTTCCTGAGTGCCAGTCTTATCATTCTTACCTATTTCCATTTTACTCTGTCAAAAAATTGCCTAAAGTCCATGAATATTGAATAAGCCTGATGGAAGGT